TTTTTTCAAAGCATTGAATAATTAATATATATGCATATTCAATAGTTACAAAATAATGTTAATAATAATTATTATTTTTTTAATTCTAATTTTTCTGATGATGAATTTTTCTTTGAACTCCTCAAAAAAAGGAAATGACTAAAATATGTAAACACAAAGGCATAATCAAATTAGCTATCCAAATAATTATCATCAAAATTAATCTGAAAGGATGAGTAATTATCTCTCTGTCGATTAGTGTCTTCAAAAAAGTATTGAAATTTTTAATGAAGTTTTAATTGTGTCCTAACTTACGAAACCCGCGTGGATAACACAATTATTGCAATTAAGAAATCTTTTTGTCATTTGTAGGTGCATCATATATTTAAAATACAAAAGGAGGGGTGAATACATTCATGTTTGCTGTAATTGTTTTTAAACTTTTATTAAATCAATAGATATATTATCATTTACCTCATTTTTAAGCCAATTATTAATTAAGCATTCAAATTTAGGGTCAAGACTCAGTTGCTATGGGTATATGTAATACTCTGTTTGCCCTTGGCAATGCTTTTGAAATACAAGAAAAAGTTTACCAAGAAATGAAAGAAGTAATTGGTGATTCTGATGAAGTTGCAACAGCAAGTCAATTAGGACAATTAAAATTCTTGGACCGTGTAATAAAGGAAGCTCTTAGAATATATCCAAGTGCTCCTTCAATCGGTCGATGCACTGAGCATGATATTGTTATTGGTAAAATTTTAATCATTTATTTTCCTTGTGTGTCGTATAGTCTAAAAGTTAAAAAAATGTTATTCCAATTTCATTTAAAACATTTATTTTTAAATTTATTTATAGATGGTTATTTAATTCCAAAAAGTACAATAATTAGAATGAACCTTTATCAAGCGCACCATGACCCTGAAATTTGGCCAGATCCTGAAACATTCGATCCTGACCGTTTTTTGCCAGAAAATTCAAAGGGTCGACACATATACTCATATTTTCCTTTTAGTGCAGGACCAAGAAACTGCATCGGGAAAAAATTCGCGTATTTGGAACTAAAAACTGTATTAACAGCCATTTTAAGAAAATGGAAAGTTTCTAGTGTTTTAAAGCCATCTGAAATGAAAATGGTGGCTAATATTACGTTACAACCAGCTAATGGACGAATAGAATTGCTTTTAACACCTCGTGATGATCAGTAGAAAAAATCTGTTCAAAAATTTTTTTTAATTTCAAACCATATTAATTACAATTTTTTATTTGAATTATAATTTTCCTGGACTGAGTATAATTGCGTATCACCACATGTTAATAAGGTCAAGGTAGTCTGCATAGTGTAATGTTAAATTTTGTGTTCAATAGCTGAGTACAGATGCCTAAATTTAATGTGAAAAGTTTACTTTTAGTTGAAAAGTATATTATTTCATATTACTAAAAAAATTCTAAAGTGTTGTTTTTCATGCGATTTTTATAGCCAATTATTCTATAATGCAGTATTGGACTTCTATTATATATGATAGTCGAAATGTTATTTGTTCAGTAGTAAAAATATGTAATATTTAAAAAGTCCATTCGACTTGTTTTTAAGAATTATTAATGCCTACGTTATTATCACAGTTTGTGGTGATTTTTAGATACTCTCATATTTTATACGCAATACTTCATATCATTTGTTGCTAACTTTTTTACAATCGTAACACAAAAATCTAGCCATTCAACTAAATGATCAATATAAAAAAATTTAATTAAGTAATAACAATTATTAATACTTTGGATTCCAACAAAACTTTATCAATACTTACTATGTTATGATAAGGTCAGTAATGTCTTTTAATTTGATACCTCAATCCTAAAACATTTCAATTGCAAATGAATAATTGTACTACGTAAGTGACTAGTTGGTATTTTATATTTTATTTGGATGTAATGCTATGTTTCAAAAGTCAAACTTGCTACACTTACACGTCATTTTAGCTAAATATCAACAAAAATAAAAATTTACTTTTATAATATAGTTATTTAATTTTTGAGCTTGACTTCAAGATCACAGTTATAAAAAAATGTTGAGATATAGTATTGCATACACATCATAAACATAAAAAATATGGCATAATCATATAAAAAC